TGGTTTCTATGACGATTTAGCCTTATTTTTACACTGGTAAGATAAAAATTTCGTATGAAGTATTACCATACCAAAAATTAATGAATTAGATTCACGATTTCTAAGTTCCGAAAATGTTCTCATGCGGAAGGAAGCTAAATTGAAGTTTCAACTAAAGAATTATCGCTCGTCAAAGAAATCAATTTAACACGGCCTGTAGGTAGAAATTTATTATCACAGACATTATAACGGTTTTATATCATTCGAGGCCGATGTTATTGAACTAGTTGTATGTATGTGTAAGATTTAATAGTCTGCATCCACGCCCACAGTTAGATAAAACTGATACAGTATTTCGCACGTGATTAAATTATTCTTGCCGCTTTATTTTATTATACTGTGTCGCTGTAAATCATATTACCCTAACCTTATAATTATAGAATATATATTAAATAATTGACGCGGTTTTTAATTAGGCAATAAATTTACTTGTAAGTAAAGTGAATACATCATAATCAAATGTGTCACTGAGGTAAAGGCCCGCGGCTTCATCTACTAAAGCTCAATGCCTTTATAAGGCCGTGTCTGGTGAGTGAGGTATCCGGGCCCATGCTCTTAAAGATTATCAGCACAACTACAACGTAACACTCGCTTGTACATATGCGACGTTGATGAACATCAGGTTAACCGCCTGTTAGCTTTTTTTCCCTTCAAAAATAAAAACTAGCAAAAACTCAACAATAGTAAACTTCTGACGCACTTGACCAATATATGTGTTGTAACTATCCAATAGTTACCCAAGAATTTTAGGCATCAACTATGTATAGTCGCTCTTTCGTACATTTCCCGTTACGTGTTATTCAAGCGAGCGTAATTATTATAGAAAATGTTAGTATGTCCCGTTTGAGTATTTGACACACAAGCATAATCATCAGAGCACGTGAAGTTTGAACTTCAAATCTATATCGACACCCAGATCAGAAATACAAGCTTGTGGTAGGCGGTAATTACTTCGTGAATCACCTGCTCGTTTACCACTGTCTGTCATAAAAACAATAATCAATAAAAAAAAAAACAAAAAAAAAAATTATGCTGTCAAATAATACTGTCAGTGTCTTCAAAAACAATGTTTTCAATACTTTTGAGCAACCTCTTCTCTCACCATCCCATCTAGGTGAGGTCAATACAATATTATGTCAAACTTGCTATTAATGATAATGGTTAGGTTTTTTACCACTAGTCTCTCGACAATAACACACGGGTCACGCAAATACTTGTAGCGTGCGGGAATTGAACCCACGGTCCCCCGGTTTCGAAGCCAATACCTTTATAACTGCGCCACCAAAGCACCTATTTAAGTATATACAAGCTTTACATTCGTGTTTGCAGTACTGGTTATGTTAAGAAGTATTACCAGTGTGTATTTTATTTTTAAAAAAAGAACTCCTTCGCTTCCAATACCGCAACGGAAGGGGTTTTACGAACATGAAAATTACGGACATAAACTACACCCCGTCTCGAAACTTGTGGAGCACAGTAATTTTTGTCCAATGTGGAGTTCGAATCTGAAACTAGTGGGCTACAAGTGCACCATAGAATCTTTCTATACATGTAATGGTCTGTCATAATATATTTATGTATGGCGGCGTTAAATTTATTGTGACTTACCAATATGGAAGACGTTTTTAAAATACATTTACATGAAACCGATACGATTGGAAATGGATACCGTTGAGTTCGAAGACAAATGAGACTGTCTTGTATAGTGGCATTGAAAAAGTTTTATCTACACAACCAAATATCAATTTAGATCTTTAAGATATAAGGTTACTGGCAACTTGATTTTTTAAAGTTCTATTGTGCAATCAATTATATTATTAAAATGTTTATATGTGAAAATCGCGTCTGAGGGTCATTTTTTTACTAACGCAGGTAATTATCTTCATATCTTTAGACCTTTAAAGAAATGGCCATAATATTTATATTAACTAATATATAACTCAATCATTATTATTAACTAGATAAGTATAACGCTTTCACTACACGTCAGTTTTCTGTGACCTCAGCATCGTCAGAATCTACGGTCCTACTACAAAAACTATTTTCCACATTTGGTGGCAATGATGAAGCAAGTATTTTATTAATTTATTTTAAGTTGTTACAAGGTTAGGCAACGTTTTATTTGTAAACGAAGTAAACCGAGAGAAATAACACTATTTGATTCCGCTTAAGTTTAGTTCATATTAAAAAGAAGAAAAGAGAGAATCCCTTATTGCCACTAACTCGAAATTCTTGGTGTGCCAAGTTAGCATTTAAAAGACAATATTTCAGGCCAGCCCATCACCTGCAACTCTTAGAGCGCAGTTGCGGTTACGTACACCACAATTTTTTGATACATTACTTCGTTCTGGTCTGAGGTACTCCAACACAAGCTCCTTCCGTCTGACCATGTCCAGATTAGAGCTGATCAAATTGTAGTCAATCAGGTCCTCTCCAATTGCCACAAATATTTGGCTCGAAGGAGACTGAACAATTGTTGAACTCTGAGAAATTGTTCGAAGCAATACTGAGTTTTTTTTTTTTTTTTTTTTATGCGAAAAGTTGTCAAACGAGCAGACGGTTCACCTGATGTTAAGTGAATACCGCCGCCCATGGACATCTGCTACACTCGAGGGTTACAGATGCGTTGACAACCTTTTGAAAATTGAGCTCCGGCTACCTCACTCACCAGACAAACGCGAAAGTATTTGTCATACTTCCACTTTACGCCGGTCTCCTGTGAGGTCGTGGTACTTACCCGGACGGGCCTGCCCATTCGTGCAACAGCCGAGGCTGCTGCGTGGCCCTACCACCGTAAGACTAAAGTTTCTGACTAACCACCTCAAAACGAGATGAACCGACAAATAACTTCGAAAATAACTTCGATGTTCCTTCACCGTCATTTCCACTAAAGTTTCTGCAACTTCATAGAAAATAATAATGATGTCTGGAGTGGAGGATTAAGAATAAATATGCACAAAAGTGGTACAAAGTTTTGTAATTAGGCTACGTACATGGTATACATATCTCTATAATGAAGGTACTAAATAAAACTTGTTCTACTACGGTTTGTAGTAAAAGACAGGACTGGTTAATATTCTATTTATAGAGGCAAAAATACAGTGAGGCTTTCGTTCCGAGAAAAGCAGTCACCATTATTGCATATAGGAGACGTGCTCTATTAAGATGTTTATCCATCTTCAACATATAATTTGCAGGCATTGGTATCCAATCGAACCAGGGGTAATTTTTTTTTTTTCTTAAAAAACAACTGTAATGAGGTTACATATTATACTCATTGCTCTACCGCAAAGTAATCAGCAAGCACTGTCCTTAAGTGTACTAGTAAGATATTGATCAGTTTTTTGTCAAAATGTTAGCATACATAATTCTTAAATGATAATATTTCAATTAATATTTCGGTACGAATAAAAAGTAGTCGTCAAATTTTTATTGCAATTGTATATTTATGAAGAATAAAACTAAGAAAAAAGCTTTTAGTGTTTAAAAATGTTCTAACTTTAATTATAATATTAATTAACCTTTAATGTCACTTTCATAGAAACAATTAGAAACGATATTATAAAATATTTTAATAGCAGCTGTATTCCGTAAAATTAGCTAGATTTCAAAGCAAAAAGTAAGTGAGATTATTAGATATTTAAATATCTTTAACTATAAAATGCTTAACTAATAAACTTTTATTCTTGTACTTAATAGGTGTGCAAGAAAGATTTACAAATGCCATTATTCTAATACCTAATAACTTTATGATATGTTTTCCGCTGTCGTAAACTTTTCCTTCATTTCCATTACTGTAATCTGTCCACATCGTTAAAAATCTTTTATATGAACAAACGTTTATTTCTTCCACAGTTACAATGGTATTGCCCCACAAACAGAGTCGCCTTTGCTTTTTTTTTTTTGACATTTCTCATTCATTTTTTAATTTACGTTACATTTAATTGTTCTTATTATATATATCTTATGGTATTTATCTCTATTTTTCTTGAGAGACGGTGGGAAAAGCGGGCGGGTGTTGCATGTAAAAGGTCCGTTTGTTTGCAGTTTCGATGCCAACTTTTTAGAAACCGTTACCCCACTGACCAGATGAAATGCAAAAGTACATTAGGTAGGCTTTTTGTGCCGCCGTGGTAATTTCTCAGCCATGCCCACCTATTTTCACAACAACGGAAACCGCCACTTGGTTCTTACACGGAAAAAATCTGGTCTTTCTTTCTTTCCTACTACCCGTGAGTGGGACATGTGGGCAGAACACAACACAACTGTTGATTTTCTTGCCGGTCGCTTCTCAACAATAACTGCATTCAGAGCCGGTGGTAACTTACTTACGAACTTATGTATGTAAAATTCAACGTTTCGTAAGAACGCACAGGCGTCTATTTGAATAAATACATTTTGAATTTTAATTTGACATGTTGTTAGTGGCCTGAAAACATACACCTAGACACGGAACAGTCATAACCTATGGATCGCACAAATATTTGTCTCGTGTGAAAATCGTACCCCTGGCCGAATATTTCGAAGATATAATAATTCGAAGCCAATAGCTTAACAACACCGCCGAGTCATTTTTTTTTTTGGCTGGATGAGCCACTGTTGGCCTTAGGGGCCTTCACAGTTCTGGCGGGTTTGATGTGGCCTGGCGCACGGGGCCTAGCCTGAACCTCGGACCGCCGAGTCACATCGTGTAAAGAGTCTAAATCATGTATTTATATGAATTGAAAGGAATATTTTTTATTAAAATGTCATACATTTCCTCACGTCGTTATACATATTTCATACAAATTTCATACACATTTCGGGCACTGATTGCAAAGCGATAATTTCGCGTTTATGATCCGGCTCAATATTCAATAGGGCCATCAGTTTTAATCAGATTAATAAGACATACTGTTGTGGAAATATTTTTTTTAACTAATTAGAAACGAAGTGCAATCTTATCGTGTCCCCAGGTAACAATGTTGCGACAAGCACTCTTATTGACCTGCCTGCTGTGTGTATACGCCCAAGCATTGGCCAGCAGCGATGACAAGTTCATCAAAAAGTACGCAATGATGAAGGTAAGCTTATTCAAAAATGTTAAATAGCGCCTAAGGTGACAAACGAGAGGTGGCACCTGATGTTAATTGACAACCGCCGCCCACAGATGCGTTACCGCCTTTTAGTAAAGTGGTCTCCGGATACCTCACTCACCAGACGTAACGCAGTATAACACTTCCACTTCACGACGGTCTTCTGTGGGACATATATATATATATATATATACAGCGTGTCGTTCTAAAATTCTTTGTTTTGGAAAATTTAATAACTCTGTAAATATTGATGTTTAAAGAATTTAAATGTTTAATACAACTTTAAAAACTTATCCCCTATATGTGTGTTCATTTATTGTCGCGATGGTAACGACACGCTGTATATATATATTTATATATATATACATATATATCGAAAACTGTTGCGTGGCCCTACCACAGTCATAGCTAGATTTAAATTGATTTGAGCCAAATGGAACTTTATTAATGATAAGCAATCATCGATAGCCAATTTTTGTATGAATGAATTACAGTGCAAATTTTTTTCGACACTGTAAATTCAAGTTGGAATCGAAACGTCGATACGTTTATCGATAATTTTTCTGAAAAAAAACACAATTGAAGTTTAATCTTGAGTGCAGAGACTAGCACTAGTAATAAAATTCATCATTAAATAAACAACATAGTACCAGCTTATTTTGCCATTGGCGAAAAAAACGATACAAATTTATACAATGTTGCTAAGAATGCTTGTTTGTAAATGTTTATTTCGTCTGCGTCCGCTTAATTTACGACCCATTATACTAATTATTCATAATTCATATTAATAATTTAGATAGTGTTCCTAGCGGGGACTAGGTATATTAGATAACATAGTAGGAGTAGTTTAGTTACATTATTATATAGCTAGCTTTTCGCCCGCGGCATCGTTCGGGCTTAAATAAATATCTTTATTTTTTAAATATACATATATTTTTTGCAAATAAAATGTGCAGTAATTTTGGCGTGAAAGCGTTACAAACAAACTTACATTCACATTAATGTTTTACATTCACATTCATATAATAATATAAGTAGGAATATTAGGGATAATAGGATAAATATTGTAAATATTTTTTATGAAAATAGGTAAAAATTGACATTGTGAACGTTCTTTTAATTTTAATTTAATTTCATTTTGTTTTTCTGTCAATAAAATATATGTGAAAAGCATAAAAAAGAACAAAAAGTAATTCGCAGTCGGTAGGATTCGAACCTACGCTCCCAGAGGGAATCTGATTTCTAGTCAGACGCCTTAACCGCTCGGCCACGACTGCTTGTAAATGTATGTTGAAATATCTGTATTAATTATAATGGTACATAATGATAAAAAGTTATTAAAGTAACTTATCAACTTTAAATTTTGAATGTATATTAAAATTACAAAAATTAATACAATTGTGACTTTATCTTTACATAATTACATTTAATATTTATTTAAATAATTCTTATCATTAACTATTGCGTTTTAATCGAACATTTTTCCTACTTAACTTACTTTAAACATATTATGAAAGTTAAATTATAATAAAAATATTTTCAGATTTATGAGAGCTGTTTTGGTCCTGAAGTCGTGAAGCAAATAAGAGAGGAAATGAAGGAGGCCTACGCGAAATGCTCACTACCGCCATCTTTCGAGGAAGCGCCGAACCCGCCGCAAATGCCGTCCGTTCTGCTCGGCAAACTGCCGCCAGGCTTCTCGATGGATCCGGGCACGCAAACCATAACTAAGCCGACAGATGGCGACTATTCACAACTCCGAAAACGACCTGCCTAGTTTGGACGCAAAACCGCAAAAGCAGTCACCAATGGACGGTGTACTGTCGTTCAGGCCATTGGCAGTGAGTTATTTTTAAATTTAAAAAATAATCGCTTATCGAGGACAAAAAACCATTGATGCCTCCTGTGAGGATTGAACTCACGACCCCTGGTTTACGAGACCAGTGCTCTACCACTGAGCTAAAGAGGCGATGAAGGAAGTGTCAAATTTAACGTTTTATTACATATTAAAGCTAAAGAAACTCTACATAACACGACTAAATACATAAATTAATGTTTGTTACCGACATATTTAAAGAAATGATAATTTATTTGAACCAAAACAAAAATGAATAATCGGAATTCTTATATTCATCCATATCCTAATAGTTATATAAAGAAATTTCTATTTTCTGAGTCCACTTTATCAATATCATGTCTTGCAATACACTGAGTTTCCCTTGGTTTAAAGAAAATTTACTTTACCTACGTAAAATTTCCTTTAACGAAGGGTCTAAAGAGTGTTCCTCTTATTTCGTTAATTATTATTGTAAGTATGATATTGTATTAATGTAACACACTTTTATATGCATTATGCTTCTGGGTTTCCTTTAAGGAATTCTATTTACTCTCCATTTTTTCGAATTTAGTCAAGCCTCAAAATAAAGGCTTCTAACCGAACACAAGGTTGAGTTTTAAAACAGCGACATTTTTTTTCATACGCATCCGAACTAGAAACCATAGACAGCAAATCGAAATCACAGAGTAACGTTTGTGTTATTTACCACAGCATTAGCAATATAGCGGTCTGAAAATTTGCAGTGTTTTAAAATTCAAGCGAAACCTTTCATTGTTTTTCACAGCAGGGTTTCCAACAGCCCGCCATACCGCCGTACATGCCGGGACCGCAGTTCCGTCCTTTCAGTGCGGCGGCGCCCTTCTTCCAGAATCCCTACGCCGCCCCCGGGGTGTTCTACCCCCCCGGCCTGCAGTACAACCCTTACGCCTACCCGCAGCAGCTGCAGCCGTTCTACCAGCAGCCCTTCTTCGGGGCTGGCAGAATGTCGGTGAGTCGTGTATTAGGTTTGAACTTAAAAACAAAACCTCATTCGTTGCCCAAAACATTGCGCGCTTTGAGTAGCTAACTAGAAAAGTGAAACATGTTTTTTTTAAATCCATCGTATGTCCTAAAGGGACTCGAATTCATAGAAAATAAGCTTTTATAAATGAAACTATTTTATAGATGTATACATGTCGTTGTAGTTTATATGAAGTTAAGGAAGTTTGAAGTCTATGACCTTTCATTTTATACACGTTGTATGTTTAATCTAATCTGTCTCTGACATTATTTTTTAAGATTTAACAAACCAAACACAACTATTTCAATGTATTTGATTTCTTGATTTTACGCGAATATTATGCATATTAAATGAAACTAGTTTACAGATTTTATCACTGTCTTAATATCTGTCCCGTGACCATGAACGCTGGAAAGGGTTTGAGATGTCGGTAATTGAAAATCAAAAATAAAACGTGATAAAATTCGTAAACTAGTTGGATTTAATAACTTTTTAAATGAGTAATTTGTGAGACTCTTTAGATAAACAAATATCCTAAAATCGGTAGAGGAGGTCTCTGGTTATTGAATGTGATCTTGATTACCACCAACTCAGGAAGTAACAGCTTTCAACACTTCAAGATACTGTTAGCTATTTCATACTAAAATCCGTAAAATTCATTTAACATTAGGTACATAACAAACGCAATATTATATTCGTGTAGTCATTAAGAGTAAGTGTCTCAAGTTATAGCCTTGACACGACCAGGAGATTAATCGATATGTCATGGCTAATGAGGTAGGAATATTCGAAATAAACAACAAATGACCAAGCAACGTGAACAAAAGACAAAGATGCGTGGAAATGACTCCTGCTCCGCACTTGCAAGACCCCTGGGCTACTGCTGATTTTATACCTAAATAGGTTTGTATAATTGCATCAAAAAAAAATAACAAAAGAAGAATAAGACCGCAGAATTTCTCGCCTCCGTTCTTCTCTGTTCAGATCTAGTTTAGTGGTAGAGTCGGTGGTAGATTTTTTGAGGCTTAGAGGCTCAAGTTAGGCCTATCTTAATAAATAAAATGAATTTTGGTAAGCGCATAACTCATGAATGCCTGGACCAATTCGGCTAATTTATTTTGTTGGTTAAATGAAGATATTTGGACTTTGAAAAAATAAAATCGTTTGTAACAAAGGATATAACACACAGGATATAAAGGAGGAAAGGATATAACAATAGACGCGCCGAGCATTGCCTCAAATAACAACGTAGATAAAACACGTTAAGACTTTCGTCGGTGTGGCGATCAGCCGTTTAGCTTAGTGGCTAAAGCGTCAGGCCACGAATGCCGAACACTCGAGTTCGATTCCCACAGCCGGCGACAATCTTTTCGCACTTTTTCTACGAGTTTTCAAATGAATTCCATCCGCGCCCAGATGGGGCCGCGCCAGATGAAGTCGTTGGAGCCCCAACGGGACCTGGACGTCCGCGACCGGCTGGAGCTGGTGACGCGCGGGCCCAGCGCCGGCCGCGTGCGCAACGTCACCTGCGTGATGCAGGAGCTGGGCTACATCGACCGCTCGCTCGAGCCGAACTACGACCAGATCAGGCAGCGCATCAGCGACCTGCCGGTGTCTTCGGCCCTGAAGGGCGACATCCAGGACGGCCTGCAGTTCTGCCAGAAGTTCTCCGTGAGTAAATCCAGGAGCTCCAGGCTACGGTTAGGTTTTATCTAGGTCGAAGTCAAAGTTTGCTTCTTTCTTTATGCTATATCGTACACTGAAAATCACGGTTACAAATGAAGGATTAAATAATTATAATTTTTAACAAAAAAAACCGACTTCAAACCGGTATCGAAAAAAACATTATTAATCCGGATATTATTAGAGGATTGCCCGATATCTCTCTTCTCGGGTATCCGTATCATGGTACCCCCCTTGGGATATCTTCTTACATATAAAAACGGCTCATAAACGACGAAGTTATCCGCGAACTTTAAAATACTTTAAATAAATTTTGCTACTTTATTTATGAAAATTATGAAAAAGTAGTTTAATTTGATAAAATAATGTGAAGTTTAATTACACCGTTTAGTTCTTTGTTTAGTTTGTTTTGTTTTCCACTGATTTTATTGCGGAAAACTAAGGGCTTCTTCTACCAATAAGTTGAGAAAGCCTCAGAGAAGATTATTATTTTCTTTTAGGTCATAATTGTTAGTAAAGCTATCCCGTATTCTTCAATTAAACACATGAAATGTAACGATTTTAAACATATTTCTTTTTCAAAATCTCAACCATAAATAATTTTTGTTACGAAAAAAAAAAGAGTAACAGTGAGATATATATCACATTTGTTTAAAATATTTTCAAGTGTAAAAATAAACCAACGGCATTCTTGAAATGTAGCGTAGAATGTTGCAGCTTTCTTGTAAAATAAATATATTTGTAGTGTCATTTAGATTACGTACTCATCCAGACGTATCTCTTCCAGCAATGCGTGCCCGAAATAAAAAGGGATGTGGCACCGCTCTCCCAAGAGCTGATCAAGCCTATGTTCTTCTTCAGGTGCTACAAGGTGCGTTCGAATTATGCAGATTACACAAACTTCGCCCTAATTGACACTATTCAGTGAAACAATAATGACGATATTCCCTTGCAGCACAAAAAGCTCGAAGCCTGCATCATGAAAGACATCCGGGAACGTTTCACCACTGAGGATGATTTGGACACCGACAGCGATTTTAGGTGAAACTTCTTTGCTTTTGTTTAATGGTTTTAATGTTTGTGCGGATTCGTACTAGATATTATCATAGTCGTTTTCATTCATTTGTTTATTCTTTATTCAAACACTTTAAAAAAACACAAAGGATGGCCTTAATGCCTATTGGCATTTTCTAAAAGTCGAGACGTGAGAAGAAATCGTGGTAGGTGCAATAGATATATGCAATCTTTTCATCTGGTTTATTGAGAAAGTTTTTTTGACAAACTGAACACATTAAAGTTTAAGGACATTAAACTAATTGCAAGACCCTTACGTGACCCTTGCTGTGTGTAATACTCGACGATAGCTTGTACGGCCTTACTGAAAACCGGCGTAGCGCAATATTGCCCTTTCCCCTGTCGAGTGAGGCAACCGGGGCCCACTCTCTCATTTTTTTACAATATTTATGTGAAAATTTAGCAATTGAACTGGTCTGGGGAGTACCAGACGAAACGCGAAAGTATATTACTTTCACTTGACTCTTAAAAGTTTGCAACGCAACTGCACCTTTCGGGGATTTCTACATGTTACGGGCGACTAGAATCACTCCGCCCTCTCATTTACCACTTTCACGCAAACTCTTTTGTTTTCGCGTGAAAGTGGTAAAAAAGTTTGACGACCTGAATGGCGTAGTGGGTAGTGTACCTGCCGCCGGCAGAGGGTGTGGGTTCGATCCCCACTACTGGAAAAATATTGTGTGATGAACATAATGTTTTTTTAGTGTCTGGGTGTTTATATATGTATAATATGTATTTATTTACAAAAAAAAGTATGTTTATCAGTTTTCTAATACCCATAGTACAAGCTTTGCTTAGTTTGGGACTAGAAAATGTTGTGTTGTGTCCCAAAATATTTATTTATTTATTTATTTTACAAGCTCACGCTTATACGTGGATCAGCAAGAAGTCTGTTATTTTTCCTCCAGATACCTTTCCAGATCCGCCAGGTCGGTGCGCGAGGATTCCCTTCCGGACCCCAGGTTCGAAGCCCTAGACGAGATGGCGGTCTATTTCTACGACTACCTAAGCGGCGGCAACGGAATGGACTACGATCTGTATTTGTAGATTGTAAATTGAAAGTAGAATATAAATTAATTCACTAAGCAGTTCCAATGGGATGGAATATTAAAACTCACTCGGAACTTACACAGATCATGAATGCCTAATGAGTCTGTGCACAATTTTAAATGGTCAGAACAGGTAATTTTTATAAGGTTTAACAATAATAGTCGTAATTGGATTAAATGTTTATACGTTAAAACGCTTAAAAGGTTAATGTTAAACTCAAACTGATATCTTCTCGTTGTCTAATGTGCTTTATTTTAGTATGCATAGGATTAAATACTCATGGAAAGTAATAATTATAAGTTGTACTTGCCATTTTATGGATTTAATTAATCTACGTACTTTTTTAGTAATAATTTCGAGTGGTAATTTTGTGTACAATGATAAAACCTTTTTAAATTATAAAACTGGATTTCTGTCTGAGGTCATCTCAAGTTGTCGCTTAACGTTGTAGAACAAAGTCGTTTTAAAACTGAAAAAAAATACAGTACGTAATTTTTAGAGCATACTTACTTAAGTTATAATAAGAATTGATAGGCTGGTATTTATAATAAAACTTAAAAGTAGTAAAAACGGTGATAAGCTTTTGAGTAGCCTGGTTATTTGTCATTCGTAAACGATACATTTGCGTTGTTTGCAGCTGATATGAATTGAATATATTCGAAGTACCTTAGTATACAGGATGGCTTTTCTAAGTATATCTAGTATTTTTTTATTACATTCTAGACATAAATAATGTTATATAAAAAATAATAAATATTTAAAATCACTCGTAATTAATTAATTACATTCATTTGAACTTATGAACGTTTAGAGATGGAGAATAAACACAACAGTTTGGTCACTTTAAACCATACGTAATTATGGCAACTAAGGTAAAAAAACCTTTTTAAGTCACCATAGATAATTAAAAAATACGATATTGAAATATATACATGCTGCAAACACTAGTTTTCGTCCATTAAGCTTGCAATTTAGGTTTCTCGACGAGAACCATTTAAACTTTCCCTTCATTCTTGTTAAAAGTACCGCAGTATTGACTTTGATTCAAAACAAAATTTTTCAAGAAAACCGGCTTTTTAACGAGAATGGAAGAATCCTGATTTTTCTCACATTGATATTTTTTATTTGTAAAATGATGTTGTCCTGAGCATTTACTAGATTAAATTGCAGTTTAATTTGTAAGTTTTCTGTTTGTCAAATTAGTATTTAAGGGATAGAAAATAAATTAAGGAAATTATACGTTCTTTTATTTCGTGCCATTCACGAGGAGAAAAGATAAAATACAACTAATGCTATAATTGTAACATTTTCTTTTATTACACAAAATATATGAATCTTATTTTTTTATAAAAGGTAAAACAATATAAATGATTATGAAAATGTAAAACAAATTTTTAGATACTTAAATAATTTTATAAACAATTCAATTTGCTTTTTTTTGCATTCCAAAAGTTTTCTCAAAAATACAAACAGATATATGTTTCTTTACCAAAAAAGATGGCAAATACCAAATCAGGCCTTAGACTGTGCCGGTCGGAACGGTTGCGGACAGTCAACTTTTCCCTATTTTTTTTATAATTAATTAAATTTTATAAGGTATTGGCTTCGGTGTCGGGGGTCGTGGGTTCGATTCCCACACGGGACAACTATTTGTGCGACCAACAGATAGTTGTTTCGCATCTGGGTGTTTGTCCACGCGAAATTTATGTACGTAAAACGTCCTTACAACACAGGATAATGTTATCCTAAAGTAAGGGCAATGTTTAAAATATAAAAAATAAAAAAACACACACACAAAACACTCTCCTCACAACACACACACAAACATTCACACAAAAACTATTCTCCGGAACCACAAGCGGCTTGGAGCGGTTAAAAATTCATGCGACACGCGGCCGCATCGCGTGCTCGATCGGACACGAAAGCTTCCTAAAGGTGAACGTCTATCATAACGTTTAAAGTGTGATTTTCCTGTCCGCTTACGGTTCGAACTCATCTTTCATGTATAGTACATGAATATATGTCATTCTTCGTCAGCGTTTCACATTTTCAAATGTGAAATGGACAAATACCATTAAAGCTGTTTCGAAGTTCACTAGTTTAATAATTCTACAGTACCTGGAGGACCGAGTTTTGCTCGGTTTTTTTTGGTAATTCGTGTATTTTGGAAATAAAAAAAAATAAAAAATAAAGGAAGCAATGATCTGGTACAGAAAAAAAAGTAAAAAAAAATAAGTGTGTAAATGATCGTGATACGAACCGCGACATATAACATTTAGCTATTATAACTTTTTTTGCGGCGAAGTTTACCGTCATATTCCAATGATATTTTTTATTCCCTGAAAACAGGGATAAAAGGACATTTTCTAAAAATGAAACCTCATGAACTACTAAATTTCATGAAAATCACTGGAGCCGAGATTCCGATTAAATATATATATATATATATAAGAATTGCTGAATTAAAGGATAAGATACACTTACAATAGCTTATGCCTGCGAATTCACTTGTTTCAAATCAAATAACGAAGTTGACAAAAAACGAATGTCTCCCATTAACGGTAACTTTTAATGGATCTTGATATACCTGAATCTATTTTATACCAATGAAACAATTGAACTGTGATTTCAAAATAAATGGCAACATTTATTAATAACCGTTTTTGGAAATTTTATCCGTCTTTCTATTTAAGAGTGTCTCAAATGAGCTCCAAAATTAAAAAAAACAATAATTTTAAATTCAATTTATACTACAATTTATATCAGGTCAGGCTTAGATTATATAAATTTAAATATTTTTATTAAATATAAGTCATTTCGATACAGAGGTGTGATAACTCAGTGTGATAATTATGAAAGTTATGGCGTATCGACCAAAAATGACTATGTGGAGAGTGAAAACTGAATAAAATATAGTTAAATAAAAGAAAAGACATTAAACGTAATATTTACAAGATTAAATCTATCTAAAATTACATATTATCTAATAAACCTAATCCACGCGGAATGGTGCCAAGAACGCTAGCTGCATTTCCTCGCTGATTAGTTATGCTTAACCTTTGAGCGAGAAAAGAACCAGCTCTCTTGTCACCAGCCGCAGCGTTAAGCCTAGGACATAAACTTTTAAAAAAAATTTATGTGTGGGGACTCCGCAGACCTAAAGTTTTTAATTGAATTTTAAGGAAATTCAAACGACGTCTCAATTATCGATTACAATACATACCTATGTATATATTGAGTCTGTAAAAATGAACAACAATTCAAAATCATGTGTGTAACTACTCAGCCGAAATATTCACAGCGACCTTTGCAGCTATGTTTGTTCGGACGGAAAAAAAACGCATCTGTTCGTGCAATCCAAAACCCTTTTGTGGTCGAGAACGGACTTCGGAGAAAGGTCCGTGCGATTTTTTTTTCCTCTCCGTGATCCGCTGCAATAAAAAATACATTATGTCTGTTTGTACACGATCCCATAGAAAACTTTCACCCGAGGGTGCCAAAAAATCGTTACCTGCTGAACAGAAAGAGGTAGTGGAAATATCTGGAGCAGTTTGTGTCGCAGGTATTTCTTTACGCGCCTTTTGTTGCACGAAATATGTCGTTCAAAAGATTTTGCGGACTCTATATTTGAGTGAATCATCGTAATAAAACGAAATATTACTACTTCTGATCGAATTCCGAGATAGGTGGGTGTTGTTATTGTCACTATCTGCACATGGTCCGTTAACTATGTGAATAAATTCATAATTGTAACTCTATTAGTTCATAGACGCCATTTTGTTAAAACTGTGTCTAAAACTGAATGGTAGGGCCACGCAACAGCCTCGGCTGTTGCACGGATGGGCAGTGTCGTCCGGGTAAGTACCACGACCTCACAGAAGACTGGCGTGAAGTACCTACTCACCAGACAAAACGCTAAAGTATAATACTTCCACTACACATTCGTCTCTACGAAACCATGTTACTTCCCCGGACGAGCTTGCCCATTCGTGCAACAACAGATGCTGATGCAAGGCTTACCACCGTAGGACTTTGATAAGGCGGATATATTCCTTTGCCTGTCATGAACGAACTATTAACACGTAACCATTTGTCAAATGCGTATGTGAATCCAGCAGATGTTTTCATCAATAAACACCCATCCCCTTTACGATTTGTATTATTTACGTCGCTTTTCAATCAATCCGTATCGTTAATGCACCTTTGCAGCGACTAGGGTAAAAGGACGAATCGTGGATATTCGTAATATATGTCAATGAAATGGTATTATAACATTAAAAAAAAGTTTCGGCAAAGTGAAAGCCAAAATCGAAACTGTTAAAAACATTACACTAAACTAGAAAACCACCCCACATCGCGCGGGTAGCATCAAATATTCAAAACCAATCTGTTGATCCGATCGCTGTGAAATTTAACAGAATCATTAACTGGTCAAATCTGAAGATTACTTTTTTTATGTGAAAAGTTGCCAAACGAGCAGACGGTTCACCTGATGATAAGTGAAGACCGCCGCCCATCGACATATGCTACACCCGAGGGTTACAGATGCGTTGACAACCTTTTGAAAATTGGGCTCCGGCTACCTCACTCACCAGACGAAACGCGAAAGTAATAAAGCACAGATTCGGCCTCACATGGAATACTGTTCTCATCTCTGGGCTGGGGCACCGAAATACCAGCTCCTTCTTTTTGACCGCATTCAACGAAGAGCTGCTCGAATCGTCGACGACCAAATCCTGCCCGATCGCCTCGATTCTTTGGCCTTGCGTCGGGATGTTGCATCCCTATGCATTTTCTATCGGATATATCATGGGAAGTGCTCTGAGGAATTGTTTGGGTTGATACCTGCTGGTGAATTTCACCATCGTACAACTCGTCAAACCGCCAAGTACCATCGACACCACCTTGATGGTTGGCGCTCCACCACTGTGCGCTTTTCACGAAACTTTCTACCCCGCACAACTACTTTGTGGAACGAGTTGTCGCCAGCGGTA